GGGGTACACCACTTTGAAGTGAATTTAAGTGTGCTCTTTATTGTTGCAGTTTGCATATCCTCCATGTTCATGTCTGCCCGCTACAGAAGCAGCCCTGTATAAGGCCGATATAGCGCTCCAAAACGTAAAATTACCAGTTTACCCCGTCGTACTGTAAGGGCATGAAATTTAGTCCCTTTCATTAAGTGAAGAACGTACGCTGGGGGTACTTCAGAACTGTATGCAGAGAATATTTGGTAGCCATGTGATTTTGCATAAAATTCCGTAATAAGGAGCTTCATATTTTTATATTCTACGCGAAGTGTTATAACGGTTACCAAATCTCAAATAAGAGCTGTACTGAGCACGAATGGTGGAGATGAGAAACGCGTGCAGAACTCTAGTCGGAAAACCTGAAGGGAGATGATAACTCGGGAGTCTTAGACATTGATGGGACAGTGATATTAAAATACAAAGAATAAAAGTGTTACAATGTGGACTAAATTCATCCAGCTCGGGACAGGGACCAGCTGCAGAATATTTTGGGGGCGGTAAAGAACATAAGATAAAATGTAAAATTATCCCTGCGCTTAACTAACTAAGCACTACGCCATGAAGCCGTATGGGGGAGTGGGTGTATAGATCCACATTTTCTTGACCTCAGAATTAGCTGTAGATGAGTGGTCAGCTTCACGCCCCAACCGCTTAACCCCCGGGGAAAGAACCCCAAGTACCCATTGGATGGAACCCAGAGCCGATCTGGACGTCGTGGAGAAAAGAAGTTCTTTGACCCTACCGGGATTCGAACTTGGACTTGGTCGTCCAGCTCGTAGCCAGTCGGTATACCGACTACGCTGTCTCGGCTTACAATGAATATAAAGAAGAGAAAATTTCTCCACCAGCCAATATCAGTAGATTCTCAAGGGCTCTACTGAACGAAATTAATAATTTGGTTGGTTACTTCTGTGTCACTGACCCCCATTGCAGATATTACTGTTGTTTCAAGAAGTATCGAACTAGATTTACTGACAGAGAGAGAAGGCCTGATCCGATGTGATGGACGGTAGTGATACTGCTACACATTGTATTAGAAATCCGGAACATAGCAACGGCTGTCGTTCGTTCAGCAAGCATTACACGTACACTGTAGGATATTAGTTACGTGATACGAGACAAATACAATTTTTACACCCTCATCTGTCCAAGCTGTTCGTTGTGGCGCACGAAACAGCTAGACTATATATAACGATGTCTGTTCTGAGTCTGGACACTGCGACATTGTCGTCTGAAATAATGCTCTGCCTTTATCAGGGAAGCATCCGAAGGGACAAAAAAAAAAAGTAAATATATCCCTGTAACAGGTCGTGGAGGCCCATGGGGTTGTGAGATGTTGAGGTTCCTACATTTTCTAGACAATTGGCTCACGGATGGCGTTGAGGTTGTCAGCCTTATGCGCCGGCCGCCCTTTACCCCCAAAAATATGCCAAGAATATTCCTGGTACAGATTTCTGTTGGAGGCTGAGTTTACCCTATGGCCATAGTGCGGCTGGAAGGATTTCATAAATCCTTAGTGCAATATTAAAACAACGTGAGCGCAGAATAAAGTAGTCGGTAGGCAAATCGAGGTGCCTGAGTTTGAAAGCCTGAAATCCTAGGAAATGTAACCATGGAATGTTATAATTTCGCCTGATGATAACAAAATGTAATGATTCTCTGAATGTTGATAACGGTGGTTGATCCATTACATGAATATGATAATGAACATTATCCATTGTCTGAGGTATATTTTACATGAATAATGTTTCGGATACTGGATCCGTTTCCGTCATCAGTTCTACTTTTTATTCGTGGCGTGGAGCGATACTGAGTCAGCTTGTTACGTCGGCCATTAGTGGGCCTATTGTACCAGTCCCTGATGATAGATGAGTTTAGAGAAGTCGGTGGAATTAGAATTGGTAGGGGAAACCGAAGTACTAGTCGGAAGCCTACCCTGATGCCACTTTCCCCACTACAAATCCCATATGAAAACCTGGGATCGAACTCGGGCCTCCGCCGTGAGAAACTCCTCTCGGCTCTTACACTGACGACAGAAGCGAATCTAGTTTCCGAAACTCTGTACCTCAAATATGCCTCAGTCAGTGGACAGTGTTCAACAAATAAACATAATTTCATATCAGTGTAATACAGTTCGAATTGTTTGAGAAGTACACATACAGACTGTTAGACGGGAAGTTGGGGTGCCCCTCAGCCACTTGTTGCTGCAAGAAGTGTCATAAAATAACAGGACGGTCACATTGGCTGCGTGGCCTTAGATGTCTTAAGTTCTGAGATCACTTAATCACTGGAAGAGCGAGTTCATATCCCGATGAATGCATAAATAGAAATACGCTGAGGAATGTCAAGCCACTTTCTTTCTTACCCATGGAGCTCAGCCCTTCTAGAGGAGCCGCCAATTCTGCAGGTACTCAAGTATTTCCCATAATTTTATGNTATTTCCCACCCACCTACGTCTTGGTCTTCCCAGTGGTCGCTTTCCCTCTGGCTTTCCCACGAATAACCTNGAATCCAATTAGTACCATCCCATCCTATCTCTCTAAGATCCATTTCAATATTGTCCAACCACTTACGTCTTTGTCTTCCCAGTGGTCGCTTTCCCTCTGGCTTTCCCACGAATAACCTATATGTATCCCTCTTCTCCCCCATTCGTGCTACATGCCCTGCCAACCTCATCCTCCTTGACTTGATCATTCTAATTATACTTGGAGAAGAGTACAAGTTATGAAGCTCCTCATTATGCAGTTTTCTCCAACCTCCTGTCACTTCATCTAATGTCAAGCCATCCAATGTAAACAAGTTTATTGTAAATGGTCCGGTTGTTTATATAGCCTTACATGTTTCGGCCCTTCGGATCCATCTTCACAGGTTCAACACTGAAAGGAACTTGCTTTACAGTAACTAAAGATTATATTACATCACATTATACGTACAGTCATAACTATAAAATATGTATGTTAAAATGTTATCAGTAAAACGGTTTTTTTTTGTTGTATCATCAGATTGCGGGCATGCGGTAGCGTAGTTGGTTGAGGCACTATGCTACAAGCCGGAAGGTCGCGGGTTCAAGTCTCGATGAGGTTTTTCAATTGACCTAATCCTTCCAGCCGCACTATGGCTCTGGGGTTGATTCAGCCTCTAACAGAAATGAGTACCAGGAATCTTCCTGGGGGATAAAGGGCGGCTGGCCCTTAAGGCTGAGAACCTTACCGCTATCTGTGAGCCGATTGTCTAGGTAATGTGGGGCCCTCGACGTCTCACAACCCTGTGGGTTTCCACGGCCTATTACAGGGATACAGGATGTGAGGTCACAGCGGTGGCTATGAAGAGTTGTCCTCTGCGGAAACATACAACCGCA